GATGATGCATCTTTGATTATCCATTTGCATTTCACTAAAAGGTACTGGGGGAGTCCTTTTCTGTGACTGAATAGTATGCAGCCACGAATTAAACAGGAGCCAGAGAATATTTTCAGCTTTGCCAGTCACACGATCTCTGTTGCATCTGCAGCTCTGTTACAGCTAGAAGCCATGGACCATGTATACTGACAAGCATGGGTGTTCTCATCTCACTCTGGCTACTAGAATTTGGTGTTCCTGTAGCTTTTACATATTATAAAATGCGATCTTTTTATGCTTCCACCATTGAAAACAATAAAAACCATTCTAAGATCATAACTTGTGCACACATAGCTAGACTTGACCCAGAGTTCACAGTATGCCAATCCCAAATTTAGAAAATTTTATGACAACATGGAAAATGTTCATGATAATATTGAGTTTTAAAAAGCAGGTGGTAAGACAATATGTATAATGAACTCCCAACTATGTAAAAAAAATAAAGCAGCTATCACCAAGATAACACTGGAAGGAGACTTATGAAAATATTTAGTACATTGCTTAGAATTTAAATTTAAATTTAATTTAATTTTACATGTGTTTATTTACACATACTGGATTTTGTATTGTGACTTTTTTCTGTAGTTTTTATAATTATTCTCATATCAGAAACAAGTTATTTAACGAGTGACAAAGAATCTCTACATTTTCATTAAAATCAGAGTATTTATTGTTAATTAATTTGATGCTCTGTTTTATTTACCCTCTGTCCTCTTCATTTTTAGCCAACAAGTCCCAAATTTGGAAAAGCTGACTCATATGAGAAACTGGAAAAATTAGGGGAAGGATCTTATGCTACAGTTTACAAAGGAAAAAGCAAGTAAGTTCACTATTATTATTATCATTATCATTATTATTATTATTATTTATTTATTTGTTTATTTATTTGTATTTGTACCAGGGATTGAACTTGGGTTCTTGCACTTGCTAGGCAGGTGGTGGCACCTCTGAGCTAAATCCCAGGCCCACATCCACCCCCCCTTTTTTATTTTAGTTTATTGGTACGTTTTAGGTATATGGTACATTTACATGACAGGTCTTGGTTCTCATTTTTTCCCCTTGTCCCTGCCCTCCCTTCACCCTCTCCTCCCCTCCCCATTTACAAACACTTTATTTCCATTTTTTCATTTTCTCATATTTTTTTCTTTTCCCTTATTACCTTTCCCCTACCCTTTCCACTTTCCCTACACCTTTAGCCCTTTTCTTCCTATTTCACATTGTCATTTATCTCATTAGGATCTTGTGTACTATTATAGTTTTTCGCACCAGAGAAACTATTCAGTATTTAAACATGTGTGACATTTGTTTCACTTAGGAGTATATCCTCAATATGTATCCATTTTCCTGTGAATGAATCTAATTTCTCATTCTTTATGGCTGAGTAGTATTCCATTTTATAGAAAAACCACATTTTCTTTATCCAGTCTCCAAATGATGGGCAAATGGGCTGTTTCCAAGTTTTAGCTATTACAAACTGTGCCGCTATAAACATGGGTGCACATATATCACTGTGGTAGGATTCTTTTCATTCTTTTGGATTAATATGTAAAAATGTATCTGCTCTCTTAATACTAAATAGCAGTGTATTTCAGTAGATTATAAAACAGCGTTTTCACTTGCTTTTTTTTATAAACAAATGTAAAAGACAGTGGGATTGGTTAACCTGTTAGCAGAGTTTCGGACTTGCCCATTTAATCTTCTCGTTTAACTGCTCCCTCCAGGTCTGTTTTCTTTTTTTTCTCGGTGGAGTTGGAAGCCTTTCGTGACATTTCACTTCCAGGTGAATGCTGTGATTATTTCCTCATGGACATTTAGTGTTAAGAATAAGAGAAATGATTTGACAAAAACAAATGTATTTACCATTCTTGATATCTTTTTAAACTGAGTTTTTATTCTGTATTTCAGGAGTCACTAGTTTGAAAAAAAAGGCAGGGTTTTCTTTCTAGCTATTATATTTTGCATCATGCTGCGTCAATTTCCACAGAGAAGCAATTCTTTTTTCCTTGTCTACCCTTTCCCCATTGCTGTTCTGGAGTCAGGACCCAGATGTGGGTTTTTAAAATCTCACTGCCATGTTTCTGGTGGCCATTCTCCCTCTCCCTTTTTGAGAAAGGACAGAAATCCATATTTACTGGTGCATAGTTTGTGGGAAACAATACTTTTCTGAGGTAACTACAGGAAAGAAACCGTAATAACCTTACCAAGTGATACTGAAAATCAATTTTGCAAATTATGCTGTATCTTTTACAAATCTTTATAGAAGATAAGACTTTATACCCTAAGTAATCAACTAAAAAAGAAGCAGAAGAAAATTCTGTGAAGGATCAATCCAAACACATATTTGAAAATTTTAAATATGTGCTAATTTATGTAATCTGGCTTTTTTGGGAGGACAATGTTATGATTTTCTTCCTGATATTTGAGTTTAGTAAATGAAGAAATGTGCCTTCTAAAATATTCCTTATGAAAGACTATATATAGGTAAAGAAATGCAGGAATGCTGTAAATTAAAAATATTAGTAGTAATTCTGAAAGCTGTTAAATTTTTTTATTTAAAGGAAAAATTGTAAATGGGGAATAGAAAACAATACAAATCCCAGAGGCCTATTAATGACTTAACCAAACTGCTTGAGAATTACGGAATGTCAGAGTGATGATCCCATGGTTGAGCTACTCTTATCAGAGGTTGTGTCCCACGCTTTTATATTCTTTCCTAAGGGAAAATAGTAGTGCTCTCCTGCATAAAACTTCCTTGTGAATTTAAGGTCAATGACATGACTGAATGTCCTTTATTAAACAGTCACTTTGTTTAAAATCCAGCAATACATTCTTTTGTCTCATTTAGTTCTCACGCTACCCTAAATATGGGTTACGTTATTATCATCTTGTTTACTTGTTTCTGTTTGGCTTGAAGCCATTTCTCCCCAGTGATTATACCTTTATTGTCTGTATATATTGGAAGGGCTTGGAAAGATTTGGTCTTTGTTGAATATTGCAAATAATTCTTCTATATGCTGTGACCTCGTTGTCATTTTTCTTTTTTTCTGTTTTTGTACTGGGGATTGAACTCAGGACCTTGCACTTGGAACGCAGGTGTTGGCACCACTGAGCTAAACCCTCAGCCCTGACTTGTTTTAATTGTGACAGAAGCAAATGTACTTTTTTACTCTAAAGAAACAGACCAAGCCTTGGAACTGCCTTCCCGCAAAAGATGTGATCAGCTGATGTGCAAATATAAGTTGATAAAACCATTAAATATAAAAATTTTTATCTCTTGGATAAAAGAAAAGATTTAAAACTGCCTATACAGCTGTGCATGGTGGCGCATGCCTGTAATCACAGCACTCAGGAGGCTGAGGCAGGAGGATTACTGTGAGTTCAGCCTGGGCTACACAGTGAGTTTCAGGTCAGCCTCAACTACATAGTGAGACCCTGTCTCAAAAAAAAAACAAAAAAACAAACAAAAAAACTACCTACAAATTCTGAAAGGGATAATTCTAGACAATTGCTAGCTTTCACTCTAGTAGGTCTACATTTACCTCATCAGCATTTCTCAAGCAATTTCAAGCCTGCTGGTTACGTGTAGTATTTAATTTCCTTTTACTAGAGAGGAAGAAAGGTACTGCCCACTCAACTGCTTTAAGAGATGTCTTTGAATGTTATCTTTAGCGTCATCTTCCAAAGCAGCTCTCTGTCGTGCACTGACTCTTCCTGGTAGTTGTAGAGATTCCTGTGATACTCAATTTGTGATATATACGTTATTGATTTACATGTGTTAAGTTTGGATTGTACCATGAAGTTCATTGAGTTTGCTAGGGCTGCCATAAGCACACAAACCACAAACAGTCATATGTTGTCTCACAGTCCTAGAGGCCTGAAGTCCAAGGTGTGGGTTAGCAGAATTGGTTCCTTCTGAGGGCTTTGAGGGAGAATCTGTTCCCTGCCACTCTCTGACCTTCGGGTGGTGTGCTGGCAGTCTTTGGTGTCCTGAATAGTAAATGCGTCCTCCCTGCTCTCTGTCTTCATAATCATAGTGTTCTTCCAGTGTGTGTGTGTGTGTCTGTGTGCGTCTGTGTGTCTGTGTGTGTGTGTCTGTCTGTCTAAAATCCTCCTTTTCTCAGGACAATAATCATATTGAATAAGGCCTACCCTCATGACCTCATTTCAACTCGGTACTGCAGTAAAGGTCCTGTGTTCAGGAAAGGTCACATTCTGAGGAGCTGGAACTTCAACAACCTGTTTTTGAAGGTACATTCAGTCCATAGCAGTTATTAACTTCAGATCGGTTTGGCATGGCATTCGTGACACTGTTCTGTTTCTACCTGTGATATATGTCAACTATGCTTTATCTCATCATTCTTTTTTAACCAGCATAAACAAAATGTAATACTCTTATCAAAATGTTGGTTGTAAATCTTAATTTTGGAAGGGTTTCGATGAGCCATGATTTAGAAATTGGAGGAGGAATGGAGTTTTTATTACTCTGGAATTCAGAGTGTCTTATTCTTTAAGGACAGATACACTGGGGGAAAGACTAGTGACTGAAATTTCTATACAAGTGGCCCAGTTGGTAGTAATTTTGGCTTCTAAAGAATTTTTGGCTGTGTCTACATCAACACACAGCGCTCAGAAATGCAATTTGTTTATTTTTTTTAAAACTTTGAACTTATCACATTTTTATGTTTGAGCAGAATTTTTTCTTTTGATCAAAATTGCTGACTTATTTCTATTTTGTGTATGTTTGTTGGGGAGGGAGTTTATCATTATACATGATCATTAATTTCTGTTCTGGTTTGGTTTTCTGGCTGTGTTCTCTCTTCTAAATTTCTGCAGCATTTCATATAGTTAAAAAAATTTATTGTACATTTTGTAGTTTTAAAAAATACGGCATTTAAAGATGTCTTTAATTCAGCACCTTGAAGTCATCTTTTTACCTTTTTGTCAGTCTTCTGTACATTGAGATTTGTTAATGTTTTTAAAACTTATTCAACCAATGATGAATGTTTATTATACTTTTTATAATCATGCCATTTTATATTGTAGGTGAAAAGAAGTGACTCAGATGTGTATTTTGCCTTGGGGAAACTTAATCATGAGGGAGATAGTACATATATACCCAAATAATTCTATATAAATTTGTGTGTCTACACTCTTTATAAACTAGAATGTAGTAACAAATGCTCCAGTAAAATGGTATAGAGTTTCAAAAGCAAAAGAGGATGTTGTTCACCACAGTATTTTATTTTATTTTTTTGGTTTTTTTGAGACAGGGTCTCACTATGTAGGTGAGACTGCCCTGGAACTCACCATGTAGTCCAGGCTGGTCTCTCACTCACAGTGATCCTCCTGTCTCAGCCTCCCGAGTGCTGCGATTACAGGTGTGTGCCACCATGTCCAGCATCACCACAGTATTTTAAATATGTTCTCTCTGGCGGTGACTAATAAGTGAAAGCCACAGCTTCGTGTACTTGTACGTCTATCAATTCTCTCCCACCCTAGAATGTCTTTGTGACATCCTTGGCATGATTTCTTTTTGTGGCTTATCCCCCCCAACTCCTCTGGCAAATACAATGAAATTTTCACCTTTTGGTTACCAGACTAAATCTTTTGAACCCTGGTGGCCTTAAAAAGCAAATGGCTTCATTTTGATATTATGCCAGTTTGATTCAGCAAAACAGTCATTTTTAAGTATTAAAATGGAATTGGCTTCAAGCGATATAGTTTGGAAGGATTGGTGGCTTAGGGGCTGTTGTAAATGAGTACCGAGACCCGTGCACCTCAGCCCTCAAAGTCAGGATGTGGGTGAGTTGTTCTCACTGC